AGAAATATTTTCATGGTATCAGATATTATAAATATTAAATTTGTTGGAGCTAAACATTTTGGGTCATTATGCCTTTTGCACAATAATTTATCTAGGCAGCTTGTACAATTTTGTAGAACTCAAACTGCTGAGAATCAAGTAGCTATTTTCTTTAAGTAAAATAAGGTAACCCAGAAAATTTTCACACTTCATCTTCTATATGAGTCATATTTTGTGTGTGTGTGTGTGTTAATGAACTGTGAGATACAACAATCAAAGATAGGTACTAATGTCTATAAATGTTAGATTCCATTTAACTATATCCAATGTATGTTTCAATGCTATGAATGATAAGATGTTAATATGCAAGAGATAATATCTTTCTTAAGGAAAATTTAATGGATGTGTGTATAATGTAACAATTATCAGTTTGACAAATGGAACCATTGTGCCAAGTTCAAATTCCAGCCTAATCTGCTATGTTCATTTTTACACCAATGCCCTTGGAAAAGACATGAAGCTATCACTTTTACACTAACCTTGGGTGCCATCCAGTCTAAGAGAAGGACTACTCTGAATTCAAAAGGGGAAGAAAGCAACAAGTAACCACTTCACTCTTTTCCAATAATGCATGGCAATTCATAGAAACAAATGCTAGCTGTAGCAAACCATTTGCTTACGTCCTGAAGGGCTATGGGTTTTTTTAAGTAAAATTTTAAATTATTTCCAAAAAATACACTTTGATCAAATTTTATGCAAGGAGGGCTGATCCAGTAAAAATGATATTCATTTTAATGTTCACGTAAATAAATAAATTGTGCGTGTGGGGGATAAAATATTTGTGCTTTGCTGTTACATTCAAAAAGGTGGGATAAAGCATCTTCTTCTTGAGTCATCTAATTCCACGATGAACATGTGCGTGGTATTTTATTAGCTAATAACAAAAAGCAAAATAACAAAATGCTAATTTTTATTGGTATTGATTTACATTTTGTTTTAGTTGTTTTTATTGCAACTTTACTCACTCACTGCCAGTGCCACTGATCTCTACTGTACAGCAGAGAAAAAATACTAAGCAACATGAAAAAAATGAATAAATTCTCTAACACGTGTTTTATTGTTGAATAAGTAGTAAGTTTCAATGTTTGGTAAAAAAAAAAAATAAAGAAATAAAGAATTTAAACTTTTTAAACAAATGTGTTAAAACTGTTACGTTAACTAACACATTTAAATTTTCATAGTGAAAACAAATATCCGTGGGTTGGCCAGAATGTGGGTGGCCGAAACCAAACCGGCGTCTGCACTCTTCTGACTTGAGGAATGACGTGATGAAGCTCACTACCATATGTTTTTTTTTTTATCTCTTGACTCAAGTTTTCTTTGTATTTTTCTCTCACTCGTGTAAAATGAAAGTGCTCATCTTCAGTGCAGATCATTAATAATACTCAATCAATATTTTTTGAAGTTGTTAAAAACAAACTAAATTGTTTTATGATAAAACAATTTTTAGTTTGTTTGTAACATGAAAAACATTGGAGAGGGAGATAAAACTTTTATCTCCCTCGCCAATGTTTTTCATTAAAAAAAATGAATAAACGTATATATTTTATTTTAAGCTACTCAAAACAAATTTTGAAATTACAATTTTATTGAATTATCGATTTCTTAATTATTGGCAATCCATTAATTTGAAATTTTATAAACTAAAAAAAAGTAAAAACAGTTCTAAAAATGAATACAAAGGAAGAAGAAACATTAAAAAAAGACATTTATTTTTTTATTGGATAACTTTGCCAAGCCCCATGTGTTCGAGCCGAAGAATATGTAGCCTTTTTTTTTTGTCACTGTCATATGCCTTTTTTCACAACCTTTACGGCCAATACATTATTCATTTGTGCCGAGTCAAACACAAACTGCAGAACATCTGTCTCTACTACACTAACTACCATGTGCTTTTTTTTCTTTTTTTAAAATGTGTCATTCATCTGCATCATCATCCTATCGATCATTGAGCAGGTCTTTAAACAAAACAAATTGTCAGCACAGTATATCACCGGACGTCTGTCTGCATTGTATGTAATTAAATAAATAAAATAAAAGAACCTTAAATGTTGGATTTTGCGTGAAGTTTATTGCTACTACAACTACTACTCTCTTCCAAATGCAAATAACCGCGCACTCACAGTAGTACGTATAGTGACCGACTGGTGATGGTAGTAGGTGTTCACTGTTCATAAACAAGGCTTTTTTTGTGCATTATTACGTTAAAGGGGCGGGGGATAGCAAGAGCTTGCATATCATACATACATACAGTTGTTTTGTTTTTTTTTAATATGAAATAAAAATTATAACAAATTGAAAAGAAGAGACCTCAAGGCTACAGAAGAGACAACGCTAAAATAAGTGCCGTTTCTAATTTCTCTTTAAAAAAAACTTTTTTGATTTTTCTTTTGTGATACCAGAAATTCATTTAGACACTGGTGAACCTGAAACTTCTTGTATAGTCGAGTCCTATATTCGTTACTGTTTTTCAGAGATACTGGATCATGAGAAGGGTAATTAAAAACAAGAAGAATTGATTATAATTACTTCTTTGTGCTTGAAGCATTGAAAAGTTATTCGCATGATAAGTCTCTATGTAAAAAACAAAACAAACAAGAAAAAAACTGATTTAAAAGCGGAATGAAACTTAAAAGATGCTTCCTTTGAACAGTTTCCCTCCACCCCTTTTTTAAATTAAAGCAACGGTTACACAAGCTGAACGTAATCGTAAGTGTAGTCACTACAACCAAAAGGTAGAAAGATTTGAAAAGAGTATATTAAAAAAAAAAAAATGTATTTTGGTCAGAGATGTTATAATTCAAATTCAGGATTGTTGAGTCAATCAATAGCCCACCTCCACTGCAGTCACTCTGTCTTGCCAAAAAAAATAGTACATTATTTGCCAAAAGTGTTTTTATAAATATTTTACAGTACACATACAATAATTATAAAACCAACTTAAAACGAACAGTACTTAATCACCAACCCTACTTCTTCCTTTCTCTCTCTAAATTGGTCGTAGTCTAGATTGCGGTCTGCGCTCTAGCGTTTGTTACGTCACCACACGCACCTTGTTTTCTTCTTGTGGGCTACGTACGTAGCGATTAGATAAAGGAAATTATTACACCATGTGCTAACAAAAAAAAAAAAAAAAAAAAAATGCCCAGAGGCAAATTTGTTCGCCTCTAACATCGAGCATTCAATAATAATTATTAATTTGTACCATTCTCCAAAAATCAAAATTAAAGCAAAAAGCTGAATTTAAGACCTAATTTTTAAATTTAAAAATATTATTTTGGCCTTGTTAATAAACAACAAACATTAGCACAAAATTCTTAAACCGTTGGGTAAAAAAAAAAAAAAAATGTGCTTCCAGGTTACCTACGGCAAATATAGTTTTTTTTTTTTTTTTTTTTTTTTTTAATTTCCTCTTTGTTAAGTTTTTAACGACTAAATTTAGTATTGGTGATGCTCTTGTCATTAGTTGTGACTATCCCCAACAAAATGCAGGCACCGGTGAGCTCGCGAGCGTGCACTCGCTTATTTCATTGCCATCATCTAGAAAAAAGTATTCTTCTTTACGGAATTTAATCGATTTCGTTTGATACTTCTGGTTTTTTTTTTTTTATCATAAAATAACAAAATACAAACTAAACATGAAAAATACAGACAGCTCAAAGAAATCTCAAGTAATTGAGAATTCAATTCGTCGTACGCATAGAGGGCAATGATGACGTATTTTATTTAAAACAAGCCATAGAGTGCTTAAATCATAGTGGCAAGGGCTGGGTACAAAAAAAAATACAATATTCAGCAAAAGCCCACCCATATGGGCGACCCAACAATAAATGTCATCACATAGTAAAAGAAATGAGGGAGTCGATCTTTCAATAGAAGAATTATTGTCTTCTTGGAATTCAAGAGATAACGCCTCAAAAATCAAAATAGTCGTGATATCAATCAACCTATGCTTTTAGTCGTGTCATTTAAGAACCATGCAACAAGGAGACTTTATCTGATAAGCAACCAATATATCACAGTGTCTGAAGTTGTATGCCTTTCCTCCTCTTAGCAATCATGTGTACTGTACAATACTACAATAATAAGCACGGTTGTCTGTTTTTTGGAGGTTATGTGAGAAAATACTTTTAAAATCCCAGGAATAATGTTTAATTTTTATACCGTGAAGGCTTTTTTTTTAGCATTAAGGTAGAAATTTGTACTGGCCAAGCGATTTAGAGACTGCAGTCAAATTCGAGATGGTTGCTTCTTTTTTCGTTTTCAATTGCAGTTGATTCGACCCGCCACTGTATGGATGATGATATATCGAGCGAGTGGTTCGTTTTCAATTTTCATCGTTCACCAGCTCACTACAACTACTAATGGCACACGAATTGGTTTTAAAACATTGATTGATAAATAAAAAAGAAATATAAGATATAAGTATGAAAAGTCATTATTTATTTGAAATAAAAACGGCAATTATTGTTTCTTTAGAGAGCGCATCATGAACCAAAGAAGCAGCATCATCAGTAAAAATAGCAGACGTATATTTGTTGAGCTATTTTCAAAGTATACCTCGTTGTTTTAAGTGATAAACGGAAGAATAAATCAGAAAATTCAGGCACTTTTGCTTTCTTAAATTATTATTTTCAAGACAAATACAGTTCCCGTGTAATGATCCGAAAACAAAGTAATTTTCTTTTCTTTTTTCCATTAAAAAGAGTGCGCGATAAAAAATAAAAAAAGGAGTTGTTATTATTGGTTGAAAGATGGAACAGATCAGTGCACACACACACACAGACTCGTACTGATATGGAATGGATGAAGAAAGGGAGATTGGTGAATTGCTTTTTTTTTAAGTAGAAAAGGAAAAAATAACTTGAAATAATAACCAAATAATAAAAGGCTTATTGTAATCAAGTGTTAAGGGGGTCCCTCTATTTTTTTTTTTTTTTTTTTTTTGTATGTGTACTTACCTTTGGGTGTGTAAGCATTAGAGGACACGGAAGAAGAGGATTCCCATCCATATGACTCTGGTGAGTGTTTTTTGTTATTGTTTAATGAAGTGTTGTCGCAGTGATGCTCTCGTGTTCGCGAACCCCACTAAAACTCCACGATTGCTCGTTGTTTCTGCCGCTTTTTATTTTAATGTCACGGCAACAATATCGCTGCTCTTAGCAACAGCAGCAACGGACTAGGGTCGGGGTAAACGATCAGCTGTTTATGACGGCTATAAATAGCATCAGGCAGGATGGAGTAGATGATGTCGAGCAACAGTGTTCTCTCTCTCTCTCTCTCTCTCCCCCCCACCTTAACGGCACCTTCTTCCTGCTCTTCTGGATTTTCTGAATTTGATATACAACGAGAGAGAGAGAGAGAGAGAGAGAGAGAGATGTGACGGTCAATAGGAAAGGAAAAGGGGCTCAAAGAAAAAGAAATAAAACGAGAAAACGAGAAAAGGAGAAATTTTAAAAATATCTTTCTTTTTTTTTTTCACCGTTGTTTTAATTCCATTTTTCTTTTCTATCTTTAAATCTCAGATTAGTCAATAAAAAAATAGTTACCCTCACTGCGGCCAGGAGTATTATTTTTTTTTTTTTTTGTCTGTTCATTTTCAATCTATTATTTTCTCCTAAAATTTTTTTTTTTTTTGTGCAACAAAAATGAAGTTCGCATGTATTACTTACATTTTCGTTTAGTAACTGATTAAACAATTTTTTTAAAAAGTCCTCTATTCATTTTATTTATTTTTTTTTTTCTTTATTTTTATTTTTTTTTTTTTCATAACAGGTTCCGAGATCCGATCCTTTATTTTTGTTTGGGACTTTTTGTTAGAGAAAACTTTAAACAATCGACTTTATTTTTTTATCACTCTGTGTTTTTACTGAAAAAATAAAAAAAAAATGTCCTTGTTTTTTTTATTGCTTAATGTTGTTTGGTAGTGTAACTTCATGCCAACAAAACATGCGTAATCGTTGGAAAAACAAACAAACAAAAAAAACAAACACGGAAACAACTACCCGTTCACGTGTGCGTGCGGGTGGGAGGATATTAGCTTCAATCACAAACCCACGTGGTCTTTCTCCTTCCACCCCATCTCATCCTCTTTCTTTTCTTTTTTCTTTTCTATTTTTTTTTTTTTTCTTTTCTGTAATTTACCTACTCAGGTACTCAGTGTTGCATTCTTTCTGACCCCGACTGATACCTTAATCTTCTTACTTAACTTTCTTTTTCTTTCCGTCCCATTTTTCCATCGTTATAGTTCTCCTCCTAAAAAATCTTCATTCAATCATTAACGTTCCTCCAAGTAAGTAAACTTGTATAAGAATTTGAATCAAATGTTTATCTTCTAACAACATCTTAGAAGTTCTATTCCTTGTTTTGATGTTATTGTTAATAATTGTTACCATCATCGGAAAACAGAAAACTACAATTCATTTACCTACCAGATGCTGCTTTGGATTTTATCAAAATCTCTCCAACTTACTCGCCACAGATTTCTTCCGACTTCTTAACTTTAAACAACTACTTTTTCTTATGGGTACAGCATTATTAGCTGTTAATTTCCCTTCCTTCCACATTTTACTCGATTACCATAATTATTACCATTTAAAGAACTCTAAGGATCATGTTGTGTCTAAGAAATTAATCAAATCTAAAAAAAATATATTTTTTTTTACTTATTCTTAGACTTTTTATTAATTTGTTTAGTGATTTTTAAAAAAGAAAAGAGAATATTATTTGTTTTGTTATTCTTTTTATAGGATGTTGGAATGATCTTTTTTTTTACAACATATTCATTCATTTAACAAAAAAAAAAGCAACATCTTAAAAATGCGCATGTAGCGATAGTGTATTTATTTATTATTTGATTGTCTTTTTCAACAACTGCAGACTACAATTTCAAACTCGTGCACTACTTTGTCGATTTTAGTTAGAGATGTAAGATTTGTTAATTTTCTTCCAAAAAAGACATTCGTGGAATTTGAGTCCTTGTTCTTAATCCGACATTGGCACGTGTTTCTCTTGAGGGGAGGAAGTGAAAATGTGACACGCCTTCCTCACATGAGAAAATTTAAAAAAAAAAATCTTTGCCACTATATGTCAGTCACATGGCTGGATGATGCTAAGAAATAAGTTAACTGATAAATGTTTGAAGTTGATCTGCTCAGAAAAAAATGAATGAAATTAAAACTGCCTTAAAAATAAAATGAAGAATAAGTTTATTAAAAATACTGTTTAAAAATAAAAATATTTATTTTTGTTTCTAGTTATCTCCAATTACCCATTTTTATCTGAAATCAAATAAACATTCATTTTCCTATAGTTAGTTTATGAAAAAGTAGGTAATCCGTATGGGTAAACCTAAGGCGGATAAAATCCAGAGAGCTCAATGTAAATCCAGAGCAAATAATTTAAATAAAAACAGACCACTTTAAGGTTCCATATAATAAATTATTTCACCACAGCCCTTTTAAAGGACTGCGGATCATCAGACTTTACTTGTGAGTTTAAAATTCTTTATAATATAGAGGAAATTTTTTTAAATTGATAATTTAATTTAATTTGAAATATATTACCCTTTAATAATCATTATTGATGATAAAATATTTAAATTGGAAAAATTTTTGATATCTAGGTAGGTGTTAATACATGAAGTTATCTGTGTATATCGACACATGGGTACCTGTATGAGTGATTGAACATGTAAAGGAACGTGTGTATATGTGATATTTGCATGGGTGTGTATACAGTATATGACAGAACAAGATCTTTAATATTACCTTCAAATATTACCCCATATTAACTTAACTAAAATTTAAGTAAAAGAGATTACCTATCTAGAAACAGTCATGAGTTAAATTCATGAACAAAATTCAAACGGATAGAGATGTCAACTTAATAATCAATAATAAAAATTTTTTAAAGAGATTAAAAAAAAGATTACTAGAAGTAAACTTATATTTTAAAATAAAATTTTATTCTTTTAATGTACTTTCTATGAATATTTTTCTAATTGACTATTTCATAGAAAATCCCCAAAATTTTAATAAAATTTAAATCACTAACAAACATCAAATTAAATTATTTGTGGACAGTTTAGAGACATTCAAATTTATATCAAACATTATAATCTTTATGAACCCCCAAAATAACACTTTCAAAGTAAAACAAAGTAACAGCGTCTGTTTCTAGCATTTTTTTTTTTTTACAAAGAAAGTTAGTGACACTTTCTCTCATGACTTCCTTCTCTCTTTTTCTCTCTATGGGTTTTTTCTTCTCTACCCCTTCGATATCAATATACAACTTACGTTAAGTTAACCGTTTAAATGTGTCAATATCTGCTAACTCACTCATGTCTTCTCCCCCCCCTCACTTCCTCAATTTACATATGTTTAATACGGCCCATCAAAAATGTGTAAATTTTCTTTTCATTTTTTGTTTGGAAGTAAGTCTGATGATCCACAGTCCTTTAAAAGGGCTGTGGTGAAATAATTTATTACATGGAACCTTAAAGTGGTCTGTTTTTATTTTATATATATATATATATATATATATATATATATATATATATATATATATATATATATGTATGTGTGTGTGTGTGTGTGTGTAATAAAATATTGTTTTCATACCATATTTATAGGGTAAAATGTGTTCAATATCTGGGATAGAATCTGTATAAATATAAAAAAGTGTGGACACTAATGTCAATACTGAGACAGTCTGTTTCCATGCTTGAAAGCAAACCTCTATCTCTCTCTCTCTTTTATATATATATATATATATATATATAAAGAAATAAAAAATGAGGTGTCCACTCAAAATAACATTTGAAGTAATATATAATTTGTATGTGTGTGTTTTAATTACTGTCAGCTGCATTCAATTTACGATGAACATGACAATAGGTCATCAAGACAGTATGAAATAGTGTATCAAAAGTGAAGGAAGCTAATCTTCATAAAAATGAAAAATAATGAAACTTTTATATAAAGTCAGATGGATGTGCTAGATAATGACATTCACCCACTGAAATTGTCAACAAGTCTACTTCTTTTTTTTTTCTATTGTGAAGAATTTTACAGATACATCATCTCAAAAAAATACAATCCATTGCATCATGTGTGAATGTGTGTTTGATGACATAATAGGTGAATGTTGGGAGAGCAGATATATAAGTTTTAAAAGGCAGTGATTATTAGAAAAGAAATACAAACATTTTAGCACAAGGAAAATCTTAACTACTGATTTTTCCCTGGCATGAAAAATAAAACTGCTTTATAGATTCTTTTATTTTTGTCATAACTTCAAATGAGAGATATAACAGGGTAATAATGCTGGTTTAATGTTTTAATGCATGAGAATGTATAATGATTATTTGAATCAGGAAATAATTCAAATTAAGCTGTAAAAAACTCAGCAGAACTAATTAAGCATCAAGGAGAAAAAAGAACAAATTGGAAATAATAATTAGAAGCCATAAAATGAGTTTGAAGAAATTCATTAAGATTTAGTATGATTAGATGTTTATTTAAAATAATATCAAATTGATATCTTATGTTAAGGGTCTTGGAATGAATGCATTCCACAATAGGTCATCTGTTTTTTAGACAAAGAAAAGTCATGAATATCATAGAACCAAAAACATGCAACAAATCAATGTCAGAAGTGCTCAAATTTTCTTATATATTGTCTCAAACCACAGAGGATCATTTCTTGGAGCTCAGCCAGATTTTACTTGGGATGACATTCTGCAGTAATTATTTGATTTACGAGATAAAGTCAAATTGCAAATTCTTTTCAGTCATTTTGTGGACTAATTAAAGAATAACTTCATCATTATCCAAAGTTATTACCAAGATGAACATTTTCAGTTTTTTGCTTTCTTATAAATAGTTATGTAGAAAAATACAGCTCTCTACCACTATCTTCTGTCTATAGAGTGAAAACATTTCCAACCTATGAGGTATTTGGATGGGACTTTTCTTGATAAACCTTGGTTCTGGGTTTAATTATGGCAATACAGTATCTGGTTCAGGATAATAAACACAAAGGAATGTACTGGGAAAAAGGCTTGAAAAGAGAAGCTCTACTCAAGATTATTTTTAACCAATCAGAAGGACAGAATTTAAAACCTGTGACAATTTGAAAAGTAGTGTTGTTGAGTAAATTTATTTTAATAACCTATGAAATAAAAATATATATAAACTGCAAGTATGACTGACTGCTGCCATACTCTGAGGAAGAACTTGGTTCACCCAGTGTTTGATCCTGCTTATGTCTGGCTTGCAGGAATGCAAAAAGAAAATGTCTCACTTGGTGAATTATGGAGATCTAAACAGCTATGTCAACACATTTACACCTAATGCAGATATTTTTTGGCAAAGTTGCAGAAATGATGGCAGTGGAGGTTATTGATGGGAGCTTCCTTTGTGCCATTTATCACATCTATATGGAAATCTCAATCTGACAAGGTTATTTAAGAACATGATTTGAGTTTTCAGGTTTCAATTTCTTTATCACCTATACTAAATCTGTTATAACTGATCCATACACTGAGGTTTTATAAGTGTTTAGTATTTACTAATTCCACATCCTGAATTTTTGTGATGGATTCAAGATAGATGCCATCACTGCTTTCATTTCAATTCCAGATCATTGTTTCCATTTTGGAAAGGTTTATCTTGAGTTCTATTTCTTGGAATGCCTGATAGAGGATGTTGATTTTCGGTTCAAGATCATTCTTATCTCAACTATGAATACCTATGTCATCAGCAGATCTCCCCTCATCATCCTCTACACTGACCTCAGGAGGAAAAGCAGGATTGCTGTAGGTTCATTTGGAATGTGGTATGGAATGCTTAAATGATCAATATCCATCTCTTCAAATCTATGCTTGTAAATGTATATGGCATAGTCTTGGAAAAGATTAAATAGATTTATACGTTCATTTCCTCTTTGTTGTATTCTAGATGATGTTTGAAATGTAAGATTATGTGGACCAATTAAGTTCTTCTATTAGTTCGATGTATTCAATAGAATTGGAACTTCAAAGGTGGTTTCTAATAGATGAAAAGAGGAAGTCACATCTATTGATGTGGTCATATGCTGCTGTGAGATCAACACAACAGGTACACAATTTTTGATAAAAGAGGTAAGCAATTTCTTGGAGTTATTTGCTCATATATTTGCTATCATTACACCCCTTACCAGAACAAAAACAGACTTTCTTAAAATGATGAGAACCTAG